CGAGGTGAAAGGAAACTGAACTCGTGTGTTTTAAACGCGCGGCAAAAAAGACAATGGTTCATGTATACAAAGACTATTAAACACACGTGAGTCATGCTTCTTAAGCGATATAATAAAAGTGGGATAACATTTCGTGACATTAACGAGAAGCGAAACATTGGTCGAGGTACATCGTGATGCACAAATGAATGAACCATATGGCAATAGAGAATCTATTGTTTCCTTTTTTTTTTTTTTTTCTAATTATTATTATTATTGTAATTCGAATTGTTTCTACGCCCAAAATCAGAATAACTGTTCATCCTATGATTTTTAGAAATTTAAAAATACACCGTTGAATCCATCAAGAACAAGCAAATTCTAAAATATATATAATAATGTATCAAATATTAAAAGTTTGTAACAATTTTGCACAATAATTGTCTACTGATTTGATAAATTAATTTATTTCGTTATATCAAAGATATAAGAATGATATAGAATAGATAAGAGAATATTTTATTTTATAAAAATAATATTCAACGATGATTCGATGGTAATAAAAGCTTACGTAATAATCAGGCAATTTCAGCAAAAAAATTTTATTCGTATAAATAAAGTTTATATGGAATAGCATCGTAATAGAAATTTAAAGTTTCACGCGAAGGATTTCTAAATTTATTCAACATATTTTCACTTGTATGATAGAAATTTAGTTTCTATTTATTTATATTATATGTATATGTATAATTCTTTTTTATACGTATACATAGATATATAATATGACTCATTCTTTGTTCTTTTTTTTTTTTTTTTGGTATTATTCCTACATCCATATTCTTTTTCTTTTCACAATTTAAATTTGTATTGCCGTTGTGTTGATTTTTTTATCGCTTTTATTTTTCGTATCCCTATTCGTTATAAATTCTCGTTATAATTATAATAGATAACTAGATAATAAATTTCATCAATTAAATCTTTAAAGTAAGTAATCTAATACTTTATCATAGAATGAATCGATCGAAAGAACCGGTTGAAATTTTAAGAAGCTTGCCTTGTGCTCGATCTGGAATCAATGTTTCTCCAGCTTGTTTCAATTTATTGTCAAGCACAACGGGTGTGAGTCATGTCTCAACAAAACTGTTAACGCGCGCGTGTATGTGTACGTGTATGTTATCGGCGGCATAAGTTTGCGAACTCCGTAAACAAAACGTGCTCCCTAACAAGAGAACGCGCGACGCCACGGTGGAACGACTTCCTATCATTGTGACGTAGTTCCCAATCAGCTGATGCTTGGTCAGTCGTTCATCTTTGATGACTAGCTTTCAGCTAACTATGCGAAACTGGTCTCCGACGATGTAAATCTCGCTCGATATTTATACAATATTAATTTCAGTTCGATCAATTTGTTTAATTTCATTTTCTACTTCTATCAGATTAATTTCCGAATAAAAATCTTATATTGGTTTAACATATTTTGCCCTATAATTTTCAAAAATTTGCTAAAAGATTAGAATCGTAAGAAATATTATATAAATATTTATTAAAGATAAGAAAAATCAGAAAAATAAGGACTTAAAGTAGTTGAGAAATAATTAAAAAAGTATAATTTTTCGTAGATAAGATAAACATGTCAATATTTGTATTTCTTTGTTACGTAGCGATTTGGTGTGAATGATCAGTGGTGTGATTGATGCTGGAAACAATATCGATTATAGACTAAAAGATTTTATGCCATGTTACTTTATCGTTGAACTAAGGGAGTGGATTTTGTCCTTCATCGAGTACATTCGACTATTTTTAAACATTTGATATGACGTATGTAGAAAATGAGTACAAAGAACAAAGACCAGAGGAATAAAAGAGCATCGATTCAGATCGTGGAACGTGTCCAAACAGGTTTGAACAAGCTCTTTCATAGCTTTAAATCAGCGTACGAGGTGATAATACGAAAAATCGATTGAGACCGAGAAATTTGAATCGACCGTTACAAAACTCCAATAATATTTTTCCTCTCTACATAAATTTTTACATTTAAATTCGAAATTAGAAATTTTTAATTCTCGATAAATTTTTATGCGCAAGGTGTCGTAACACGAGTATACGTCCATAATGGTGGGGTAGGCGCCTACTGTTAGGACTCACAAGTGAGAAGTTAGGTTAGGTTTGCATTACGAAGCTTGATAATGCAAGTAAGCGATATAGGCATTTCGAGAATAAAATTATATGCTTTCGTTAACGTGTAATTCATTCCGTTGTATTTTAATTATTTATGTAAATACGATAAATGAAACGATCTTTTTTTTAGAAATTCAATTTCTACGCGTAATATAAATCGATGTATCCTTCTTAAACGACTACTTTATTCGTTTCCCTAATATGAAATGTACAGATTTCCTCTTACCTTCACGGATCAAGGTTTTTGAAATGCCTTGACACAGAAGTATCAGTATCGCCTTGAATTAATTTCAGCAATAAATCGATACCTCGTTTGTGCAACTGTGACAATTTTCAAATGTAACCGCAATTGGTTAGACTTCGTTGTAGAATTTGTAACCAAACATGGAAATCTTTCTTGGAGCCGTGTTGCGACGACGCGATGACATAATTTCTTCACGTCCGAAAAGATTCGTGAATTGTCGTATAGCTTTTCACTAGGAACACTGCACCTTTGATTCAATTCGCATTACATGACCATGTCAACGAGACACCCTTTACAATTTTTTTGTCAAAAAGGGAAGAAACAAAAAAGGATAGCGATTATTAGACGTTCAGACCGTTACACAATTTACTTTTTGGAGCGAAGAGTAAAAGACGTAGGCAAAGATAGTATCGTATTGAGTGGAGAGAGAGAGAGGATAAAATTAAATTGAATTATAAATTGACAAACAGAATCGAATAATCCTGAGTTAACGATGGCGAGAATCCAGGCGTAACTGAATTTTTGTTCACACTATTTTCTCGTCTTTCCATTACTGAGAATTTAAATACTCACATGACAAGTCGCGAGACGATCGAAGATATCATATTAACGGTTTTTAACGTTATACAAGTAACGCGCGATCGAAAGAAACGAGCAATTAATGCGGACGGCCGTTTGTAACACCACTGCTCACAGGTCAACCATGTTGGACTGGCAGCTGGCTGCTGCTGCGCGTGTGACGTCACGTCGTGTTTTCGTCACGTGACTGCAGGGCTGTATAAACGTTAGGTATTTTTAAATATCGTTAGAAAATATTAACTTATTTTGATGTAGAAATTAAATATTTAACATTATTTTAATAGTGATATTAAAAATCAAGATAAGACATTATAATTAATAAGATTCATACATATATATCATGGTTTAGTTTTAAACTATTAAGTTTTAAACGATATATAAATATGAATGAAGTGATTTTATTTAATTTAATATCAATTTTTAGTTCAAAATTATCATTATATATATAAATTAAAAACGACAACAGTTATAAATACGATACGAGCAATTTATTATCCATCGGAAAATTTTATATTGAGATTTTTATATATTACGTTACCGTTCTTATATAATAGAATATTGCATGAATAAAAAATAATAAACAATATATAGTAAAAAAAATGATAAATTCGTCTAAACTACGAATAAAATACAGAATTCATTATTAAAAAAAAATAATTTTTAACACGTTAACTTAAACTTTAAACGTATTTATAGAAACAAGAAAATATCAAACTCGTTAAATACATTTTATTTTAATTGTTTTAATATAAATTTGTTAAATGTATACAATTTATACAATATATACGAAAATTCTATTTTTTTTTAACATTTTTTTAAAAACAATTTCTTCTAAGACGCAAAGCTTTTATCTTTTAATAATACATATGTCTGTATATACTATATCTTAATATATTGCAAAACATTATTATTATATTTATCATACGTACATTTATCATTCTTTTTGTATATTTATTTTAAATATAAAGCATAGTTAAAATTATGCCACTCATCGAATATCACTATAAAGAGATACATCCAAATGAATTTCTAATGTAAAGCGGTTTCCAGACCACTGGCCCTGCACCAACAAATAAATCGAGCGGCAAAGATCGATGAGAGAGCAATTTTTTTGTAATAAGAATAGCGATGCGTGTCGCGACTGATAATAATAGACTACATGCACCTTGGTTCATTTTTTATTAGAAAAAAAAAAAAAAAAAAGAAAAGGTATATTTTACAAGGATAATAATCAAACGAACATAAGAAAGTTTTAAAGAATCCTAGGTACTCTTTTCTTATTTATATTCTTTATACCAAAATTATATTTATAAAATTGAAAAGCAAGAGAAGAAGGCGCCTGGTCTCCAGATCCTGTCCCCGTAATACGATCCTTGAATCGACATTTCATCCCATCCCACCAAGAATTGCGGCCCCTTGTATTTCTTCAGAGTTGGTGTTACGGCCCTAGAGTTCCTCACCCCACGCTCGTGCCATAGGTTGCAGCAATGCAAGAGAACGACCACTGTGATGGTGGTAAGACGAAGAGAAAAGAGGTGAGAAGAGAAGAAGAAGAGATAAAAGGAAAGAGTAGAGAGGAGAAGAACAGATAAGAGAAAAGAGCAGGGAGGAGAAGAGGAGGAAAGATGAGACGAGATGAAACGAGAAGAGAAGAGAAAAGAAGCGAAGAAAGCAGAAAAGATGAGTGGATGGCAACGAGAGAGAAGGGTGAGATGTGTGGCTAAAAGAGGAAAAATAGTGGAAGATAGAGAGGGGGGGGATTGGTGGCGACGCGGCGCGGTGCGGTGTAGCGCGCGGCACGGTTGCTTGGTTGAGTGAGCGGTGGGGTGGGGCGGGAGCGTCGGCGCGAACGTCGGAGCAGGCGGGAGCCTGGGGGTGTTCGAGGGTAGAGGAGGATGGCGGGAGGTCGAGCCGTGAAGCGGGGGAGAGGGTAGGAGTCGCGGGAAGGAGCCGTGCCTCCCTGCCGTCCGCCCGCAGTGCGCGCTACGCGATATCACTGGCCGGTCATGTGTGTGTCACTCTCACGTTCACACTGGTACCGTTCGGAGTGCTTGGTTACCGCGCTGCCACCGTTACCGTCAACCGAGCAGTGTGTGTCCAGTATACACGGTGTGCGGCCGGAAGTTTAAAGTGCCTCTCGTTCCGTGTCCTGGACGTGGCGAGAGCAGGCGAAATCCTGTCGGCGCGGGGGACATCATCGGAGAGACGACAACGACGACGGACGTGCAGGTGGAGCGGACTGTAAAAGGGAAAGATCGGCTGCGTGGTGCGCGACGGAGGAAAAGGAAAAAAAAAAAAAACAAGGAAAGGAGAAGAAGGTGTCAAAGAGCGAAGTGTGTATGTTTGGAACGGTCGCCGAAAGTTTTCGGTGTACGGTGTCCAGTGTCCAGACGCACGTATGTAGGAGCAAGGAGTGGCTGCTGCTGCTGGTGGCCGACCGTCCAAGGAAGAGAGAAGAAAGAGAGAAAGGAGAAGAGGATCGTGCGCGCCTCATGGCCCTGTTGTTTATTGGCCCGTCGTGATCACGAAGAGAAGAGATCCGAGTGACTGTGTTCTTGTGTTTTGGTGAAAAATAACGAAGTGGTGATCGGTGCTCGATTGTTCTTCTCTACGGTTCAGTGCTACGTGGGGTTTTCTTTTTTGGGGGAGAGGCACGCTCGCTGGAGGATCGGAATAGAGGAAAAGAGAACGGCACAGTTCGTGGGGGAGAGAGAAAGCGAGATAGAGAGAAAGAGAGGGAGAGAGTGTGAGAGTGAGAGGGAAGAATAGCAAGATAGAAATAGAGATAGAGGTAGAAGAAGAGAGAGAGAGGGAGAGAAAGAGAGAGAGAAAGACAGAGTGAGAAGAAGAAGTAAACTTATAGAGGAGAAGGAGAAAGGGTGATTGGAAGACCCGGCTGGCGATCCGAATTCGCGGATTCGACACGCCGCGGTTGCCGATCCATAATATGGCGTACAAGTTTCGCGAAGAGATCGTGGGAAAGAGGTTTCTCTCGGTGAGTGGTTTCACCAAGCTAAAGGTGAATAAGATTAGTGAGTGGGGGTGGCGTGCGGGGGTAATTCGTGCTGCCAGTCACAGGGATAACAGCTGTCATGATCTTCAGGTGAGTATCATCGAACGAAACATGTTCTTCCTTTAATTAATTCTATAATCAGTTTAGAAATACGTTCAGTCTACGCAGAATAACTTTGGTTCGATGCATGCGGCCTATCTGGCATCGTGCGCGCGACACGCTGTTTCTGTTTACATTAGCGACCGACCTTTCGAACATTCGAACTTAGCATTCTATAGTCTTGTTCACCTCAATTCGAGAAATCTGCGCTCCTTTTTAATATCGAAAGGATCTTATTTAACGCGTCTTTTTTGCGATCGATACTCGTCAAGTTTTTATTTAATATTTAAACATTCCTTTCTTACGACATGTAATGACAGTGAAATCTATCGAAAGATAGCAACTGAATATTTGAAAAAAGTATTTGAAAAAAATTTTTATTTGATAAATTATTTTAAATTTTATGACGAAAATGGTAATATAAACATATATTCTTTCATAACATTTATTTTATTTTTTAATTATATATTTATTTAGAGTCATACAAAGAGTCATCAAGAGACATTATTATTGTCTTATTTATATCTCGATTTGCGAATTAAATTCAAGGAAAATTTTATAATTTCATCTCTTGTCATTTCAATATTAATTATTAATATTTAATATTATAATTATACATTATATTAAAAGATACATATTTAATCGAAATTATTTCTAAGATTCGTGTATGAAATTAAACAAATATAATAAGTTAAAAATAATATAATTATTTCATTCGATTTTTGATTCAAAATATGTTTTATAATTGAAAAAAATAGAATCTAGTTAGAAATTATTCAAAATCAAAAGTTAATATAAAATATCAATCAAAAAGCAGAAATAATTAATTATAATCTTATTATCTTATAATCTTATCCTTACTTTTTTTACATATTCAAAATTAATAACATAAACATATTTTTTGCGTTTTGATTGTTTTTAAAATTATTTATAAATTTTTTCTTCTTAATTTATTTTTATATAAAATTCAGAACGAGGTTAATAAATAATCTAATCTCTCTTCGATTCATATCGGAATATATCAGAATAATTTTTTTTCTATTAATAATTTATTAATACTATAGCTATCAGTATTTTCGTCAAATATCGAAAATTTTCGATTGTAACTCTCTTAAACTTTGCCAAATTCATTTATAAATCATTTTTCCCTGTTTTATTATGAAATAACATGTAAACAGTAAGTTTCTTGTAATTTCGATTTCGATATATGAGCTTCAGCTATGAAATCTATTTATCTTATAAAGAAGAGTAAATTGGAAAAATCCGACGAAGTTTGAAGTTATGGCAATGTCTAAGAGGTTTCAGACAATGAAAACATCTGGTCATTGGCAAATATAGGATACGAGGAAATATTATTTTAGAAGACATTCGTGCAGATGATAAAAATTTATTTTTTAAACGCAATTAAAAATTATTATACATAAATCTTTATTTTACGAATTTTAATAAATTTTTTTTTATTTTATAATTTATGTTTTGTAAATTAAATTTTCTAAATTAAATAAGCCTGTTTTTTCGTACATAATAAGTAAAATTTATAATTAAAAAAATTGTTTTGCAACATAAATTTATTTTTTACGTTATATGAATTTTGCATAATGCAATATTTTTGTTTGCATTTTTTTTTTTTTTTTTGAAACTTCAACTATGCGAATTTATTTTCATCAAAACCAAAATAAATTATTTAAAACAGATAAATTGATTAAAGTTTATACAAAATTCTTGTATAAACTTAAAAATAAATTTAAATATACAACATTTTAAAAATTTAATCGAAAATATTTATCATTCTTTTTATCGATTCGAATATTGTATTATCTTTTCGTTTTTCAAGATAAAAAAATAATATTGAATCCTTCATTAAACCATATTTAAATAGACAGTCATTAGCAACATTGGTCATGTCTCATTTAGATTAATATCAACATAATCGCTTTTAAAACTGGTATTTACCAGAAGCAGGAAATCCTTGCGTCATTTTTCGCGAGAAACTATGTTTCGATTGTTATTATCATACGTTCAAGATTCATTAAGAAACTGTTGATCGAAGTCGATAGGCGATAAGGACAACTTTGTGAAATCGATGCCAAAACAAAATTATGAGGCAAAATGGAAAGAAGCTAGGATAAAAAACTGTTTTCTATCAGATTACATAAGCTATCGTACCTCAGAGCTTTTTTTTTTTTTTCTGTTATCGCGAAGTCATAACTATTTCAGATTTCGAGGACGTTGTCGGTACACATGCATACGTCGCAAAACACAAGAGGTACGCAATTGGTTTTTGTCAATTAAGCCTGACCAAAGGCCATGATTCTCTCATTTCAAACTTGAACAATGTATGCACATAATTTTTTTTTTTTTTAATCGGTCTCGTTGTTTAGAAAAAATAGATTTTTTTGTACGTTTGCAAGGAATAAATACGTTTCTATATTTTATCGTATATACATGATATTTTGATTATTATTAAACTACATCTTCATCAACGAAGCAACAATGAGAAATATTTTTATTAATATTCCATGTTTTTTTTTTTTTTAAATCGTTACTTGCTGTCATCATTCGTCTAGGATTCTTCGTATTTATTCTATTTTGATTCAGAAATTAGAGAAATGAATGTTGTTTCAATTTACTTTGTCGATTTCCAACAAATATCGATATCAATGATAATTATATATATTATGTACACATGTAAAATATTCGGAATATGGAACAATGATTGATTTATTAAATTAATTGAATAATAGATAGAATAGAATAGATCTTTTCGTATAAAAATTATATGAAATGTAAAAAAAAAGGAAATACGTGAAGCAGTATTGTGTATAATGTATAATAAAAGTGAAATGAAAAGTGAAAAATTTTGTCTTGCAAGGAACAAGTCTTCTTCAGCCAACGTTCGCAGTTTGGAACAAAGTGTGTATGGACAACTTGTTGCTAGCAACAACTATAGCCTTGAAACCGAAATAAAACCCAAATATTTCTCGAATTATATTACTTTAGTTGTGTGAACAAAATGTTTCTGTACATTGTTTTTAGAAGATGTTTGTTGGAAATGTTTTGAAACGTGCAACACGAATTTTTTTATATCATTTAGTAATTAAAGAAAAAAAAATCTTTTAGTTCAGAAATTATAATCAATCATTATAATCAACAATTTTAAAATTGCGTTTCAGTTTATATAAATTAAAAAAATATCTTTAATTTAATCTCTTAACGATTATATCAATATTGATTATATGTAAAATTTATTTAAATATTATGTATAATATTATGAATATGAATTATGAATATGTGAAATGAAATAATTTTGTTCTTAAGAGATTCTTCTCTTATGGATTACATTCATGAAAGGAAAGAGAATTTATTTGTGATTGGAAAAATTTTTTTAAACTATTTTTATTTTATTCAATTATTAATTTATCTAAATAATTCATAGAGATTGTACGAATGAGATATATCTTTTGACTCTTTATCACGAATAGCGTTTGTTTAAAATGAAACGCTTAAGTTGGATTATAGTTTTGATAATAATTTTTGATTATGCGATTAAAATAGTTGGATTTACTATTCACTCGTTTGTCATTAATGTGTAAAGTTATTTTTTGTAATAATAATTTTAATTTAAACAAAAATTCAAAAATATTTCGAAATTCAAAATTGAAATTCAAATTTTATTACGTCCGTCTTTAGAATAGCTATTTTTAACTTGAAATTTAATATTTATTAGAAACGATTAGTTTTTTAGATTGGCGAAACTCTAAGAACTCAAAAATCTCGAAATGTATGCATATTTTTTTCTTTGTTTTATTTCGTAAGAAACTAAGGTAAAAGGTTTTAATAAATTATTAGCCAATGGTGATTGTAATCATTTTTGTGATAAAAAATTAAAATTTTTATTTTTTTCTTTATATGATATTTATATTGATGAAATTTAACCAATTAAAGTAATTAAAGAGCTTAAAGTCTGAATATAAACGATCGATAAAATTATTTCAATCGCGGAAAAGCAACATTAATTATTTTTGCCATTCATTTCGAATCATTGGATCAATTAGTTGAATGAAAATAAATTCATATCATTACGATATTTTTTTCAATATTTTTTTTGTAAATTATTTAAATATATATATTTTTTATTTTTAGTATTCTACAAAAATAGCATCAAGTTTCGAAAAGTGTCATTCTTAATATTTATTGGTTTGATAACGTACACATAGTTAAATGTACGAAGTTCTTAATTCAAGCTGTTATTTGATACGACTCAGCTGAAAATTATCGCGAATCATTTCTTTTCTACAAAATTTTTTTAAACGTGCATTGCAAAAATCGAAACGAAAATATAAATATTTCATTTATCGAAGTACATGCCTAAGTTCGAAATGAAATTTTAATTCTAATATTTAATATTTATAAAATTTTATTAACGCAAATATTAATATTTCATTTCAATCAGAACCTATCGTATGATGAAATTGTTTTATTCGCGAAAAAGCAACATTAATTTTCTCCGCCATTCAATTTGAATTTAAATATAATTTAGTAGTCAAATATACATAGTATAATGCATGGAATAAAATGTTTTAGATACGATTCTCTATATTCAAATATATTATATACGTAATTATTTTGCATCGATGTATGTGTAAGGGTTGCAGAAATAATGCAACAAATAATAGTATCAAAGTACTTCAATGAATGATAAACTAAAATAATTTTTTAATTTTTCTTGAACATTTTTTTTTATTATTTATTTATTCTAACAATGGATAAGTTTAAAAAGTTGCAAATATTCTCTCAATTTTAGGAAAAAATAAAAATTTGCTAACAAATTTTAAAATATTTATTTCTAATAAAACTTTAATATTTTCTATTGATAAATAAATCAGCATTTTAATTACACGTATATATTTTTTAATCGTTGATACTTATATCAATATTTTATATCAAATTAATATAAAATTAAATTAATAGTTATCTAATTCCTTTCATTA